ATATTGCAATGCCGATTTCAGGTGCTGAGTTCAGCCTGCCTTTCTGAAAGAGAAGAGCAGAAGAACCTGAAAATCAAAAGGCTGATCCCCCCATGAGTGAGAAAACGCTGTCGGCAAAGCAAGGACAGTTTACCTGAATAGAACAAATCTTTTGTAATTGCCTTATCATATGGAATGCTTTGAAATATTTTTTTTCAGGATCACATGATCACGTTAAATAGAGTCTGCAAATAGAATGGATAGAAAAGTCTTTTCTTTTCTCTCTCTCTTTTTCGGTAGAGCATGAGAGGGAGACTACAAGTTTAAAGGAAGGAAACAGATGTGTCTTCCTGGCCTGCCCATTATTTTTTATCTTGTTAGCGGAGTGGAAAATGAACCCTACTGTCAGGCTACCTCTCTTCCCACAATTTATTTTTTTTATCTACAAACGTGTTTTTCCTTTAACTGTAGAGTCTTAACAGTTGAAATGTCATAAAGATGTTTTCTCTCTCATCAAGATTTACATAAAGTCATAAGATTATTCATGAGTATAAGTGAGTTTAGAAGACGGAAATAAAAAGGCCCTATTTTAGGTTATTTTGCATGGAATTAGGAGGATGGTGCAGTGCTTGGGTTTGATGCTGTTGGGGAAAGAACAAAGTGATTCCATCTTTGATGTGTGGAAGCCCAAATGCCCTCAGGGCTCATCTGCCTCTTGGAGGTGCAGACCTCACTGACTCCCTGGGAAGCTTTGTCAAGAGTGCCGCTGTGGTTGTGATACAGTCACTATCTTTCTTTTATTATTTTTTTCAACTTGTATTTTAGAATCAGGGGGTGCATGTGCAGGTTTGTTACGTGGGTCTATTCTGTGATGCTGAGGATGGGGATGTGACTGAACCTGTTACCCAGGGAGTGAGCCTGGTATCCAATAGACAGTTTTTCAGCCTTCCTTCCATCCATCTCTTTCCACCTTCAGTGGTCCCACTTGGGGCACTTCAGGCTGCACCGTGCACTGGCTACTCCCTTCCGGTAATTCTTGACAGCATTCCTTAGGTCAAGAACAAAGTAAAGGTGAATATGGCACCTTAGGATGCTCGACGCATTCTTCAGAAAACAGGTTTTGACCATCAGATGTGCAGACATTGGTACTTGGCCTTCAACCTCTTTCAGCAGGGGAGGAGTTGCACCTTTTACACCCCAGTGAGCTGTGGGGATCAGACAGTCTGCTGCTTATTTGGAACTCCAGTGGGTTGAATAGAGTTCCTGGATTTCAAGATTTTATTCCACCATTTCCCAACATGAAGCTTTAAGGCTTGATGCTACCTCTTGCTACCTAAATCTGAGATTTCTGATTTGATGAGCACTACTAGGACAGCACTCAAGGAATCATAATAACCCTTTCAAAACCCCACTTTCAGGCCACGGCTCAAGTCAGATACAGCTTCTTTGTCTTTCATTAATTCTCTTTTCCTTGGATTTTTTTTCTCATAGCTGGTGTTTGTCTTTCCTCAGTGACCTTTTAGTCCTGAATATCTCCAACAGGGCTTCCTAACTTTAGCATATAACAGTGTGCAACAGTATGTAATGAAGGAACCATTTAGAAATTAGACTTAAAAATGGCAAGACATTTTCAACATCTGACCATTGCCAGAAGTCTAAAAAGAAAGTGATATATTTTTTCTGTCAGCATTTAAAATGATGGTAATAATTACCTTGCTGTTGGAGTGTAAATATCATGGGAGGTTTTGCTAAACTAGGAAGTTGCTGGAAGCAAAATACTTGATGAGCTGGGGTCAGCTGGAGTAATGTGACCCTCGCTTTTCATAAACATTAGGTCTGTGCATCCTCTCATGTGCCAGTCTAACTAAACCTTTGGATAGTGAAAGGTGTTCATTTGTTGTGGTGAGCAGACTTCTGTCAGACGTAGTGCAGTATGCTTGGGAGAAATAAAAGCAACTCTGTTATAGTTCGTCTCACATTGTCTTTTTGCGAGTTTCATAATCTTACACTAAATTTGGCTATTACGGATAAAAGTAAAGTGACAGTACTTGTCATACATCTGGGAGGATGAAGTTAGGAAAAAATAGTGCTTTTCACAAAGTTTAGATATGGCCTAACAGTTTTGCTGGTGAACTTAGCAGGAAAGGCATGCACTGATATGAGTCATAAGTCTGGATGGACACTGACCTATTTTTTATTAAATTAAATAAAATAACTAAATTATTTATTTATTTTTGAGTCAGAGTCTCAGTTTGTTGCCCAGGCTGGAGTGCAGTGGTGTGATCTCAGCTCACTGCAACCACGCAACCACCGCCTCCCGGGTTCAAGCGATTCTCATGCCTCAGCCTCCAGAATAGCTGGGACTACAGGCATACGCCACCATGCTTCGCTAATTTTTGTGTTTTTAGTAGAGATGAGGTTTTCCCACGTTGCCCGGGCTGGTCTTGAACTCCTGAGCTAAGGTGATCTGCCTACCTTGGCCTCCCAAAATGTTGGGATTACAGGTGTGGGTCACTGCACCCTGCCCTGGCCTGTTTTTTAGATTATGGGCTAACGTCTTTATTTACGATTGGACCCCAAATTCCATTTTTCCATACCTAACGTTTGTTACAGTGAATAGATGTGATGTTCTTGGATCTTCCTAGGGGCTTTGTGTGGATATTGTGTTTGGAGGTTCCTGTTCTGCAACGTGGCAGATTAAACCTGTATGTCATTCATAGTCTCTGAGGCCGTTTAAATGTGTGGCTGAGATAAATCTGCCTCTGAATCCTCAGGCTTTCCACTTTCTCATGGAGCTGTAGGTGTAAAAGCGATGGTGACCACAGGCCCTTCTCTCACATGTGTGGGGGCCCATAGGGGCCTGAGAACAAATCAGTGGCCAACTCCTCCCAGGATAAGCAGTGAGAGCCCCACAACCAGAAAAAGCCCTCAGTCCTGGGCAGATGGAAAGAATTTGGCTGGGAGTGTCTCCATTTTAAAACTTGTAAGGAATCCTCTTAATTCCTGGCAGTCTGGGATGGTTGGCCCCCCTACTGCAAATGAAGACCCACATACTTATATCCAAATATTTAAAAATTCTAAACCAAATCAGAGAATGTGAATTGTGAAATAGAGTAGGTTCCACCTTCCTGCAAGACAAATATATAGTGATGATGATGTGGAAGGCTGGATTTGAAGCTGAAAATCTCAGATTGTGTTGAAAGGCACATTGGGAAGAGGGGTGAGTGAAATCTTCTAAAATAATGGATTACTGAGCAGTTTGAAGACTGACTTGCTCTCTTGGGCTTGTAAAATCTTTCCTGCAGCAGGTGTAGTAAATTCCCATGGTGAGCGGGACACCATTTGGTCTAGGGCTTTTGTAAAGGGAGAGGACTTCAGAGGACAACTGAGTCCCCTGCAAGTGACATCAGGAGGGCAGCCACTGGGACTTCTTTCTGCCACTTTATTCATTGAGTTAGCCCTCAAACTGCAGGACAGCTTTCAAGACTCTTCTCAGAGTGTTATAACAGCTATAAGCAACTCTGATGAGACATATTCACATATGGTAACTCAAAATGAGTTTGAAATGGTATTTGGGATAATACAACTCTTCGATATATGAGTGAAATTTACTGGAATCAATGACTTTGCATACATTGATACAGTGCCATCACATGTGGCTGCACAGGGTGTGCACTGCTCAATTTCCCATCACATGTGACTGCACAGGTGCACAGGGTGTGCACTGCACAATTTCAAGTGGTGCTGTTCACATGGACTACAATATGAAAGGCGCTCCCTAGAGTTGTGCAAAGCATACACCGTATAGCAGTATGCAGCATCCCTGGATGGAAGTACACAGCCATTCGTTTCATTTCATTTTTTTTCCCTGCTAAAATAGATATTTTTCTAGTTGAAATGCGTTAACATTCTAATTTGAACACTGGGGCCACTTTTATTTGGTTCTTCATTTAGACTAACCTTGATTATTCGCTGGGGAATGCATGAACAGAAAATTGGCTCATTTCACTTTACTTTAATGGCATTTTCCTGCTAAGGGTTCAGAAGTGAAATGAAAACTGAGTAAGCTTTATGGTTTACAAGTTTTACTGTTTCACATGGCAAGTGAGGACTAAAAGCATAGGAAATAGCTTTGGAAATTCATTTTGCAATCACTTAAATGTTAAAACAAAATTTAATTTTATTTCCAAGTAGACTTTCATGTAGAGACCCAGTTAGCTCTGATTGGAGAATAAGTGGCAAATGTTTTTGTTACCAGTTCTTGTTGATGCTGAGTTAAAAAAAAATATTTTGGCAAGTCTCATAGGAATACCTTAAAGCAGAATATTCTGATCATCTTGGTGACTTTAGAGCCATCCCCCAAAATTAAATTGATAACTTTTACATTTCTCTCTGACATACCATTTTTTAGAGCTTCTTATACATCAATGATTTCAATAGAAGAAGTACATTTTATTTTTCTTTGTTGTGTTAGGGCATAAAAAAGGTTTCTTCAGCCTTAGAAACTCCCCTGAAGATAAGGTGGAGAATAAAATTGTGCTTTAGATAGCATTATGCAGGGTGGTTAATAGTATGCTCCTGAACGCAAATGGCCCTGCTACGCACTTGACAGTAACCCTCAAACCATCAGAGAATAACAAAAGTGGTATGAAAATTATCTGTCTCTGGAATAAAAATACCAAAACTGCAATGAAAATGGTCGATCGTATAATAGGAACAGTACCAAAAAAAGAAAAATGGTAATAATTCATTGATTGCTGAAGTTTTTTCAAAGCAATTTGTGATTTTTTTTGTGATTTCTTTTCGTTTTTGGAGGGATGAAAGTGGGAGAACTGGGGAGGGGAACGGGGTTAACGTGGAACAACTCAAGAACTTCAAGTTTTGTTTACCTGTCCTGTAAAAGCAGTCTATTAAATTGCGAAACCTCAATGTATGTTTAGCTTATTTTAGTTGGCATAGGTTAGTAATTTTTTGACTCCAAAATGCATACTTACAGATCTTTGCTCTGTTTTGCCTTTTAGGTGCAAACCCAAATTATCCTGATGTAATTTATGAAGGTAGCTATCATGTTTTCTACTTTGTATTTCTTTTTCAAAATGTTTGTCTGTAATGAAATAAATCAACTGAAAGAAGACTCTTCTAAGCTCAGTTAAATATACACTTTAAGCATGACATAGGCCAAAATAGTATTTCAAAAATCATTCAATATTGATGGCCGTTTTCCCTTGACATTTACAGTGCCTGTAAATAGCACTTTCTCTCTCATACCCTGTTCTTGGAAGTAGTAAATCCATTCCGTTGGCTGTAACAGACATCACATTTCCTTAATTGGGAACTAATTACCTGTTTAAAAGCCATGGCTACCAAGAAAAGGGAGGTATATCAGTTTCTGGCTATGACAGTAAAGCCGATTCAAAATGATGTTTCTTGTATAATGAAGGTGTTTGACTCACAGACAGGAACCTCAAAGGTAGGGCTTGATTTAGGGTTGGTTAAAGCAGCAGCTCCACCACGTCGCCAGGGACCCAAGTTCCCTTCATGCTACACTCTTTGCCCACCATGCCAGCTTCACTGAAGGCTGGTCCCCTTACGGTTACAAGAGAGTGTCGCGGGGGAGCTGCTGCCATTCACATGGATGGGAGACAGGGAAGCGCTCCTGAAGGCGTCCTTGAGGAAAGAGAACTTCCCAAGAGACAAGAATCAAGCCCTCTTTGTATCCAATTCAAGACCCGATTGGATTATAGTCCATTCTTGCCCTTATTACTGGTAAGAGGGATGGATTATCCCTTCAGTGACTAAATTCACCCCCAGACATTAAGTCAGCTTCCCCAAAGGTGAATAGGCCTAACCCCTTGAAAAAAAAAATGGGATTCTCTCAGGAATGTGGAAGGAAAGAAACCAAAGTCCCCTATACTACTTTTTTTTTTTTTTTTTTTTTTGAGACGGAGTCTTGCTCTGTCGCCCAGGCTGGAGTGCAGTGGCCAGATCTCGGCTCACTGCAAGCTCCGCCTCCCGGGTTCACGCCATTCTCCTGCCTCAGCCTCCCGAGTAGCTGGGACTACAGGCACCCGCCACCTCGCCCGGCTCGTTTTTTGTAATATTTAGTAGAGACGGGGTTTCACCGTGTTAGCCAGGATGGTCTCGATCTCCTGACCTCGTGATCCACCCGTCTCTGCCTCCCAAAGTGCTGGGATTAAAGGCCTGAGCCACTGCGCCCGGCCTTTTTTTTTTTTTTTTTTGAGATGGAGTCTCTCTTTATTGCCCAGGCTGGAGTCCAGTGGCACAATCTCTTCTCACTGCAACCTCCACCTCCTGAGTTCAAGTGATTCTCCTGCCTCAGCCTCCTGAGTTGCTGGGATTACAAGCACATACCACCACACTCGGCTAATTCTTTTATTTTTAGTTAAAACTGGGTTTTATCATGTTGGCCAGGCTGGTCTCGAACTCCTGACCTCAGATTATTCACCCACCTTAGCCTCCCAAAGTGCTGGGATTGCCAGCGTGAGCCACTACACTGGGCCTATATTAGCTTTTGATGGAATATCGCATCTCTCCTTTGCTGTTTTGATCGAATGCCAAGGATGTTTTCCTTGGTTTGAAAACCCATATTTAACAGATTTCCAAGCCAGGAAGCCACTGTTTGGGGAAGTGGAAGGCTACATTTCAAGATTTGGCTTGAAATTTAGGAATGATTAAAAGATTGATTAAAACATTATATTTATATATTTTTCTGTAAAATACTCTGTTCTTTAATTTTACATTTATGTATAGATTGATATTTTATTTTTTTTTATAAAATGAGCCTGTCTGTATGTTTATTATATGCGTGTGTATTTAACCTGAGCTAATTTAACTTGGAGAATAATATTGTCTTTACCTGCTTGTACATGTTAAGACATATTTCTTCCAAGCTGTGGTTTGGTTGATTTTTTGCTTATGATTTGTGTGTTGTGTTGTTTTGTTTGTATTTGTCTTGATACAGTTTAAAGGAAGAATCTCTCAAATTGTTTCACAGAGAAATACGTTTGTATTGTGGTTTTACATCTTAAAATTACATTTTTGACCCTTTCCCAGTTAATTTGAGACTTTAAAAATGTCATCTTCCTGTTAGCCTCAGATCCCACTTTGGATCTTTGGGCCAAAATGTCATGATATTAAACTATAGACACTTGAATGATTTAAATTTTGTAGATATAGTTGGTTATAACATGAAGAGGGAAAACTAACCAAATAAAGGATATCCATTAGTGTTCAAATTTAGTAAACTTTAAGATATTCAAAAGGAAAATGGTGAGAATGTGGTTTTGGCATTAAGAATGAAACAGCAAACACATAGAAAATAGATTTTTTTTTCTGTTATTTTTTATTCACAAAGGAACACTTTGCTAATAAAAATACAATTTAAATTGTTTGCCCCGAGGCCAGCATGATGATTCTACCTGGAGAAGTTTAGCTGGGCTGCATTAATGAGGTGGCCTCTTCAGGATGGAAATTGAAGGCAGTGTACCTATTTAGAATTAAAATACAAACATTATAAACCTCATTGTTTGCAATGAGTTTGCCAAGAGTTTCCTGAGACCTTTTATATGTGATATTGCTAATAAAAACTTTGACAAGCCCTGAAAAACAGCCATTATTTCTGTCCTGACCCATGTAGACTAAAATCGATCCAGAAGGCAGCAACTGCATTTGCGACTTGGTGAAATGAGAACAGAGCATTCACAATTCTAAGTATTGTGCGGGTCTACCTTTTAATCATTCTGAAACTGAAATATTGGCAATTCAGAACTGTTCAAAAAAGTTTACGTGTGGACCCAAGTTTCATACTGTTGCTTGTTCCACATCTCCTCTTACGTCTCTGCCCTTTGTGCAAGTAAGTTGCACCTGCCCTGGAAATCACTGTTGCTAATTTCAAGTCTGGGGTCACATGTGAGCTCTGCCATCTTCTTGCCTTCACCTAGTCATGTAACTTTCCTCCACTGACATTCTTCAGTGGTAAAACTGGCAGTTATGCTCTGTCTCCAAAGACCTTTCCAGGTCTATAAATCTATGACACATAGATGATCGATTCCCTGTCGTACTTGTTTTAAATATGCCATCCATAAAAGGCTATATGCTTATGTGCAAAGAAAAATCCCTGAACCAGGTTTAGGGCTGACCAACAAGACAATGATGTAAAGGTCTGGACTGCATAAAATGTGGGCGTTGTGCAGTCTCAGCACTGCCGTGGATTGAACTCAGCAGCCTGGTCACATCCCTCCACAGCCAGGCTGTCGGGGGTTTGGAATCTTTGTGATTTGTCTTGCTTCGTTCTGGCTCTTACTGTGGCCTTGTGTTTGTTGGCAGCTTAATGACAACTTCATGTTCTTTCTCTTTCCCCCTTTTCCCACTTAAGATTATGGAACTGCAGCGAATGACATCGGGGACACCACAAACAGAAGTAATGAAATCCCTTCCACAGACGTCACTGATAAAACTGGTCGGGAACATCTCTCGGTGAGTGGAATAAATAGGTGTCTGAATTGGTTCTGAGCGTTTTGGATGCCTCCATGTTAGAGGAATGTAGCTGCTTCAATAAGACATTTTTATTGTTCAGATGTAAATAGGGTGTTAAAGGTCGGAGGAATTAATAAAAAGGCTTAAAAAACGTGATAAAGGTGTTATATGGCCTTTGACTTATTTGCTGCTTTTGTGCACCACTTTTAGTTGTTAGTGGTTCCTATTTCAATGATCTGTGCTTTAGAAGGGTATCACTAGAAGAGCAAGAACCCAGCTTTATCATTCATGGACTATACCTTCATACCCATCTCCTTAAACTGTTAATATAATTTTGACTGCTCACTAGATGTAAGGAATCGAGTAGCTTCTGAAAGGGACGGGCAGTGGAGTGGATATAATAATATGAACAAAATTAAGATTAGCCATTTAGAATTCATCAGAGACCCTAGAGGTGAATATTAGCACCTCAAATACAAACAGAAGCAGAGCAATGCAGTACAAGAGATAGAAGTAGAGAAGCAGATGTTTTGTTCCTTTGTTCCTGAGCTGGGACACTCAGAGGAGCCTTTGTGGGGCAAGTGACTTTTTGCATGGCCTGTGCAGGAGGATTGGGATTTTGACATACAGGAATGGAAGGGAAGGGCATTGAGGGCATGTGAACAGGAGCTTGTAGGTGGAGAAACATCGTGAAGGTGCTTGATTGGAGGGTAAGGCGTGTGCGGGACAGCAGGGTTGGAGATATAGATTGCCATGTGGTAGGTCTTGACATAGAGTCTCAGGTGTGTAGATTTATGGCGCAGTGAAGAGCCATTGAAGAGGGAAGTTGCATGATCCCGGGGGTCTATGGTCAGTTGCTCTGGTCCAAACCCAACAGCTTTCTCCAGTTGTTTCTTTTCCTCACTGTCATATGCACACAGCGCTTCCTGTGAACTCTGCCTCCTTATAAATTCCAAATCTTTCCGTATCTCTTCACCTCCACTGCCATGGTCACAGGCTAACCCAGGGGCTGGCAAACGATGACCCACGGGCCAAGTCCAGCTCACCACCTGTTTTTGTATGGTTTGCAGGCTAAGAATGGTTTCTACCTTCTAAGTGGTTTAAAACAACAAAAAAGAGTGATATTTCATAACACATGAAAGTTTTGTGAAATTCAAATTTTATTGTCCGTGGACAGAGTGTTACTGGAACACAGTCCCTCGTGTTCATTTACATACTGTCTGTGGCTGCTCTCATGCTCCGATGGGGTTGGAGTAGTGGCAGCAGAGACTGTATGGCCTGCAAAGTGGAAAATATTTACTTCTGGCCCTTTACAAAGAAAGTTTGCCTCAGTTGTTCTTTCCTGCATGACCACACAGCCTCCTAACACATCTCCCTCTCCCACCCTTGGGTTTTCTGGTCTTTTCCCACATAGCAGCCTGAGTGATCTTTGTAAAGCGCAGATCAGATCACTTCTTTTTTTTGTTATAATTCTCAGAGCCATCTCACTGCAACTGCAATAAAACTTTTCATATGAAAGCCACACTCTTCATGGTGGCTTATGAGCCCTGGGTGACCTCACCCTTCCCGAGCTCTCTGGCTTCATCTCCCACACTCTTCTCACTGCTTGCCACTTGTCTTTTTCATGCTCTCTCCAGTGCTCCAGTCCTGCTCTTCCTATGTGTGGCTCCCCCTCCCAGGCATTTTCTTTCTGATGACCATCGTGTGACTTCAGCTAGGTGGCCAGCAGGCAGACATTGCCCCCTTCTATTTTCTTCTGAGCAGTTATCATTGCCTGGAATGACCCCATTTATTTGTTTGTTTAAAGTATTTTTCTCTTCTCTAGATTATTTAGTAAGACTCTTAGTAGGGGCAACCTGGTCAGTGTTTTTCACAGCTGTCTCCTTAAGCCCTCAGAATACTAGCTGAAACCTAGTGGGCACCCAGTACATTTTGCAGACTGGCTAGACTTGCAGTGAACAGTATAGGACAGAGGGATTGCAAGTGGGGTGATCCATTAGGGGTATGATAGAGCAATAAAGACATTTGATATATACTTGAAGCAAGGTCATGAGAGTGGAAATGGGAGGTGCATAAACAGGTGCAGTGCAACTGCAACTTTATGCATATCTAGTACAGAGGTATGCATACATGCACATGCACACACATATACACACAAACATGCACGCTTCCATAGATGACTATATGCATTACATTGAAATAGCAAGAACAAATACCATAGTAAGTCAACTGGGGAATGGTATCTGCTTCCTGCCTTATGCAATCATTTTAGTTTTTAATTATCATACCAATCCACTTAATATTTCTTGGTGTAAGAAAGTTGTTTGTATATGTAAGAAATCCAAGTAGCATGTATTAAGCCCAATTACACAAAATTATATGTTGACTTTAGTTTTCCAGGTTTTTTTTTTTTTATTTAGTTTTTTTTTTTTTTTTTTTTTGAGACGGAGTCTCGCTGTGTCGCCCAGGCTGGAGTGCAGTGGCGCAATCTCGGCTCACTGCAAGCACTGCCTCCCAGGTTCACACCATTCTCCTGCCTTAGCCTCCCGAGTAGCTGGGACCTCAGGCACCTGCTAGCATGCCTGGCTAATTTTTTTGTATTTTTTTTAGTAGAGACGTGTTTTCACCATGTTAGCCAGGATGGTTTCAATCTCCTGAACTGTGATCTGCCCACCTCGGCCTCCCAAAGTGCTGGGATTACAGGCGTGAGCCACCTGGGATTACAGGCGTGAGCCACTGCTCCCAGCCTTCTGTTTTTGTTTTGTTTTGTTTTGTTTTGTTTTTTTAATACAGATGATAAATCTAGGCACCTGATTGGCATATCTCCATCTATAGTATAGTTGCTGGAAGGCAAGATCAGTAAGTTTGTTTATTATGACTTTGTGGGAGGCTCCTAAAATCTGTATGAGAGGCGCAATATTGTGTTTTGAAGAATTTAAAGAAAATGTTACAATTATGTGTGGTTCAGATATTTTATATATGAAGAGTTCCTGATCACAGGAAGGATCATTAGATTAGAAGAGTTTGAGAGCCAAGAAGCAGATACAAAAGTTAAAAATGTTTCTGGTCCAACAAGTGCTCTTGCAGCATTTTGTTGGATTTGCAGGGGAGGGCAGATCTCCCTTGTTCTATCCTAAGAAATATCCTCAGATGAAAACCAAACCATCAAGCAGTCAACCAACCAACCAACCAACCAAACAACCGACCAAACAAACTCACCCATGTTCATCTCCTGTGTAAAAACCACCTCAACACATGCAAGGCACACAAAACTCTGTATTTCTCAAACAATCTGATTTTGAGTAAGTTATTCTTTTCATTGTCACAGGCATCCTTGTTTATGAAAGGATTTAAATTGAGAATGGCTTCAGTAGCTTTAAGTATTTGTTTGCAGATCCTTAGCTGCTTTTCAGCAGTAGAGCCCACTTCCCATTTTCTAGGTTGACTTACACATTCTATAAATAGGTAGAAAAGCCAGGGCAGGCATTGCTATCGAATGAAGAAGTGCAAGCTTGGGTAAGTGAAGCATCTGTTCTAGCTGTCATGACTGGTAAAAACAAGGTGTCCTGTGAATGCAGGGATCCAGGACTCCTAAATCCCAGTTAAGGACTGTCCAAAGCAGGGAAGAGACCGTACTGTGGTTCTGCTGCGTGAACTGCTGCATGGTTGGGGGCCTTTCAGGCCAAGTCATCTAACCTCCCCCATCCTAGTTTTCTTATTTATGAAATGGAGTTTGACTTTGTTTATTTAGGTATTCTCCATTTATCTGTAGAAGTCTGCAATTTAATCATAAAGTAAAGAAACTTATAGCTAAAATACGAAGATCTCTTTCCCATGAAAACATTAGTTGGAAATAAAGATTTTAAAAAAACACCCAAAGTCATGAGGTCAGCTTGAGTGAAATGGTTAAGTTTATCCATAATTAACTTTGTAAGACTTGCTACCATTTTGTTCGTATATTGGTTGCAGAGACAGAGTTAGGTCTGTACTGGCCCGGTGCAGTGGCTCACACCCGTAATCCCAGTACTTAGTCCAAGGCAGGCAGATCACCTGATGTTAGGAGTTTAAGACTAGCCTGACCAACATGGAGAAACCCCGTCTCTACTAAAAATACAAAATTAGCTGGGTGTGGTGGCGCATGCCTGTAATCCCAGCTACTTGGGAGGCTGAGGCAGGAGAATCACTTGAACCTGGGAAGTGGAGGTTGTGGTGAGCCGAGATCATGCCATTGCACTCCAACCTAAGCAACAAGAGTGAAACTCTGTCTCAAAAAAAAAAAGAAAAAGAAAAAGAAAAAGAAAAAAATTTTTTTTTTTTTTGGGGGAGATCTACTCACTGTTATAGTACCAGAGAAGAGAATGATCACATCTTTGCTCCACACCGGCCAAGTGCTTTGCATGTCCTCTTTTTGTGCTCTGTGACTTACTTAATGCTCTTCCCATCTGACATCAAAGATGGTGTCCTGGGAGAATTAGCCATACGTTTTTATTTTCCTGCCTTCATTCTCAACCACATGCTTTGGAGAGGCAGTGTAGTGGATAAATACAGGATTTATACGCGGGCAGACTTGGTTCCATTCCCAAGCTCAGGAAGTGTGACTGTGAGCTGCTTATTTAATTTTTTTCTAAATCTTAGTTTTTTTCATCATCATCATAGCTAACATTAATTTATTATATATTATAGTAGATACTGTCCCAAACCCATTATCTGCATTAACTCATTGAGGATTTACAACAACCTACAAAGTAGAATAATTGTATTCTCCATCTTACACATGAAGATTGTGAGATGCAGAGAGGTTAAGTAATTCTGAAGTCATACAGCTAATAGGTGAGGAATCTAGATTTTATACTCAGGAAGAACCCATGGTCTTAATCTCTACCCTCTAATGCCTCTCACTATGAGATGGGTATATCAGTCAGAATAAACTATGCTGCAGTAACAAAACCTCCACATCTTAGGAGCTTAAAACAACAAAGATTTCTTTCTTTCTTCATTTCACGTATTGGCTAGGAGCTCTGTTTAGCCTTGTCCTTGTTCCAGGTCTGTGGATGACAAAGCATCCACATTTTAAAAAGTTAGCCTTTTTTTTTTTTTTTTTTTATGGCGGAGATAAAGAGCACCGTGGAGTAGGTGGAGCAGGATTCCTCAGCCTTGGCACTATTGGCAACTGGGGATAAATAATCCTTTGTCTGGGGGGCTGTCTTGGGCACTGTAGGATGTTTAATAATGCCTGGCCTCTACCCACTGGGTGCTAGTAGTACTTTCCCCCTCGTTGTGACAACCCCAAATCATCAAGTGTCCCCTGGATGGCAATATTATCGTCCCTGGTTGAGAAACACTGCCTTAGACGAAGACTAAGATCTTGGACAAGAAGTGAAGTTCTACACCCTGGCAGTGACACAAGTCTCAACTAGTCACATGAACCACCTAACCACAAGCAAGCCAGGAAATGTATCCTGCATTGAGAAACACAGAGAAAACCAGAAATATTAGACAAACAGCATTAATGATTACTACGGGTAGGGACAATAATATCCATCTTAAAAATTGTTATGCAGATTCTTAAGCCAGAATGGCTCTCTAAGGCTTCTCAGAGTAAGCATTGGCAACTATGTTCAAGTCCAGCTGCTGTCATTGTAAATAAAGTTTTATTGGAACACAGTTATGCCCATTTGTTTACATATCATCATTGGCTACTTTCATGTTCCACCGGCAGAGTTGGAGCCTTAGTTGCAACAGAGACTGCAAAGTTGGCAAAGCCTGAAGTATTTTTACCATCTGACCTTTACAGCAAAAGTTCGCCAACTCCTGGTTTAGAGAAGCCAACCGTTTTTGGAAGCAGGACTTTGGGCTGAGTAAGACTGGAAGGAGACACATAGTCCTGCTGAGAACTTTGCTCTGAAATGTTAAGATGCACTTAGAGGAGCATCATGCCTTGGTCAGCAGCGGTAGCAGAGTGATCGCGTTTCTATGTGTACCTCTGTCATCTCTACCTCAGGGATGGGACAGGATTCACATATATCTGCATCTACCCTCTTGACATGTGTCATCCACACCTGGCAATTACAGTTTTAAACTTACTTAAACTTTTTTAGGCTTATATCTTATATATGGGAAAATGTGCATATCATAAATGTACAACCCAATGGGCTTTCACAAGTGGAACTCACCCCAAAAGTGCCCTCCTGCTCCCTTCCAGTGCCACTCACCATTCCCAGGGTACCCTGACTTCTAAGAGCAACACTAGCTAACCTTTAAAAAAGCCTTTTACTATGAACAGTCTTCAAACATGCACTTCAGTAGAGAGAAGAGTCAAATCTATTCTTCACCAGCTTCAAAATTTATCGGGCTGGATGCGGTGGCTCATACCTGTAATCCCAGAACTTTGGGAGGCAGAGGTGGAAGAATCCCTTGAGCCCAGGATTTCAACACCAGCCTGGGCAATATGACAAAACCCCATCTCTACAAAAAAATTAAAAATGAGCCAAGTATAGTGGTGTTTACCTATAGTCCTAGCTACTCAAGAGGCTGAGGTGGGAAGATAGCTTGAGTCCAGGAGGTCAAGGCTGCAGTGAGCCATGATTGTGCTACCGCACTCCAACCTGGGCAACAAAGTGAGACTCCGTCTCACACACACACACACATACACACACACACACACACACGCACACAGAAAAATCACCAGTATTTTGCCGTTCATATTTCATATTCTCTCTCTCTCTTTCTCTCTCTCCTCCCTCTTTAGATGGATGGAGAGAGAGAGATGTAATATTTTTAAAATGCCAATTGGATACCCATTTTTACAAGCTTTAACTTATGTCTGTAGGCATAATAATAGATCTTACATACTTCACTCTAGGATTGTCGAAGATTAAGTGATTTGGCCTACATAAGGCTGTTATAAGAACAAGTGTTAAGCATTCAATAAATATGAACTGCCTGTATCATTATCATCATGATCATCATCACCATGTGATTATAGGGAACTAATTAGCAAGGTTATAACTACCCTCCCTTCCTTTCTCTAGGTCTATGCTGTGGTGGTGATTGCGTCTGTGGTGGGATTTTGCCTTTTGGTAATGCTGTTTCTGCTTAAGTTGGCAAGACACTCCAAGTTTGGCATGAAAGGTAAGAAGGGTTGTGTTTATTTAGCTTCTTATGTGGATCATTTTTGGCTTATGACTAATGCTAATTACCACTAAAGAAGGAAGTGGCTAGATTTATGATGATTAAGTTTTAAGGCTAAAAAAATAGCAACAAGACTTTGATACTACAAATCAAGACAGGACAAAATAATGTCGATTACTCAGCACTACCCACTTTTCCAAGACAACAGTTGTCCCAGAAGACAGAAATGGGTTCTTGATTATCAAGGGACTAATAACGATATGACAAAGAAATAGTACTTGATGTTTCTTTTGCTCCAGAAAGGCAGGTGAGACACGGTGGCGATAGGATAGTCTGGACACGTGTATTTTGTGCAGAAAGGTCTATTCTGCTGTACATTTGATTTCCAAATCTTCAGTGGTATGCTTTTGGTGTTGCTCCTGCTTTTCCAGGTCATCACTCTTTGAAATTTAAACAACAGTGTTATGAAGCAAAATAAGAGCAGCTAGCGGCAGTACATGGAAGCTTCGTGAATGCATAGATTTTTTTTTTTAATTTAAGTGGAACAATTATCAGCGCTGGATTAAAAATTAGGCACTAATTGACCCAAAATAGATAACTTGTTGTTTTTAGAGGATTGAAAATTAATTTTACAGGGAAAACTTGTGTAAATTTCTTGTTGCATAAAAAAATAATGCCTTGGAGCCGTGATTTAATGGTTTAAGTTTCAATGATGTAAAACCATTTGCTCTGAAGGTTAAACGTATGTATTGGATAATATGCTAGTGTTGTATTTTGTGTGGTCTCCTGTAGATAGACACTATTTAAAAGGTCTAAATGGGAATGCTGTGAAGAAGGTTTAGTGGTGTTTTATTTGTGTTGGAGAGTAGGTCAGGTGGATTTTCTTTATCTGCATGGTCTGTTAGAATTACGGGTAGTGTTGCTAATATTGCTATTTACTTGAAAGGGAATGTTTCAGTAGCAGTAAGTTGCCCAGCATACACTGACATCTGGGATAGAGCAGATCTATTTCTGGTGTTTCCTCTTTTTCCTTTGTTGGTGCCTGTGAAGATTTCTAAGCCAGAAATGAACAGGGAGGAGTGGTGGTAAACTGGGGCTTAAAATAACTCTAAAAACCTCATCCTGGTTCCTGCTTGGCCAGCTGATCCTTGATGTTTCTTCAGGGGAGGAAAGATCTTTCATTCTCCAATTATAAATAAGGCTTGGGAGAGGGACCACCCCACAGTGATTTTAATTCATCCTGTAGGGTGGTTCTCAAACTTGACTGTGTGCCAAAAACTCCTGTAGAACTTGAGAAAACACAGATTCCTGGGCTACCCCCAGAGTTTCTGCTTTAGTAGGTCTAGTGTTCACCTGAGAACTGGCATTTCTAACAGTTTCTGGAGGATACTGATCCTGCTTGCCCTGGTTGTTGTGTTCTCTACGGTAAACATGGGCTGCCAGGCCCCCTTCAGAGTGTGATAAGGTGTTGCGAGAGACATCGCAAACCAAACTTACCCACAGCTTTGCACACCTTTTGGAATCTCCATGTCTCAGCTGCACCCGGGCCCAGGCTAGGCGGCTGCTCTGTGCGTGCCGCTCCCTACCATGGCATTTGGTGGTTCTCGTGTCTATCAGGTGCTTTCCTTCCTTAGAGGCACTTGGACTGGATGTCTCTAAACATAGATTTCACTGGAGGCTACCAACTCCTAACAGTAGAGTTTCCGGTCTTGAAGGGTTTCGTTTGAAAGATTTCATCCCATGAGCTTTTCGGAGAGAGGATATGTCCAGGTTCTTCTGGGATCTCAGCAAAAGCTGAATGGGAATCCATGGAGCAAAATTTAGGAGCTTCTTCCCACCCTTGGTTTAGGAAAACCACTGGCAGAATTACCAGTAAATGGCAACCTACTCCTTATAATGTGGCAATGGAGGAGAAAAAATGTAGACATTTTCTTTCAGAGAAGAAAATTGTTTCATATTGAGACTCCAGCACTAAGGCTGAAACAGTATTTCATTTAGACAATTTGGGGTGATTACCACTAAAGCTTCTACGTTTTCTGAGTATAACCTGAGGCCATCCTTAATGAATTATAAGAAAGAGTGTGCTTAACCCTGCCACAGAGCCAGTAAATGGCTTCCTACAGCAGTAACTACTATACATGTTGTATGTTTTGTTCCCTCATTCCTACACACAAATAAAATCATTTTTAGAAAGTTTGTCTCCGATACTTTTTTTTTTTAGAATAGCTTACTGTTCTATTTTAAGCTACATGTCTATCTGGGACATGATGTGAGCAAAAAGAGCCTGATCTAGGGTTACTGTTTTGCAAGTCATATGTCGAGTTGATAATCTTTGGGGATCTAGAAATTAAGTTATGGTTCGTGCATTCAGTACAGATGAAACCGGGTAAAACGTGGTATTTAAACATTAATGTGAGTCAGTGTATTTTAAATGCTATTAGAGCTGGGATTACCACTGAAAAACATATGTCTTAAAAAAGAGAAGACTATGTAAAAATACTATTATGCTTCCCAAAATAACCAGGCAATATATTGGTTGTGGTTTCTTAGTAAGAACAGTATGAACTGTGTGTAGCCTTGGCCAGGACTAGGCACCATGTAAGAGGCTTGTGGCTGCTATGCAGATGAACTATTCAGAATGTTATTCCTCCCTCCCTAAGCATCTTTGGGGAGGGTCTAAGCCCATCCTTATTCTCTTATGCTGGAGGCAGATGGAACAGGAGGAAGGTGGCCAGTCCACCCATAGGCACTCACAGCTTTTTGCCCATCCCTAGCAATGCACGGTTTACCTCGAGTGTTTGACTGTTTCAATCTGTAATGGAAACCTTGATAATATAAATGACAGTTCAATGCTGTTGATATGAAGGACCCAGAGCAACAAACCCCAGAAACCTCTTGAGGTCACCACACTACAGCTGAATGCAGGGCAACACAAGCTTTATGGATTGACCTGAGATCCACCCCTCACACCTGCAAACGTTATTTATGGTGTTGCTCCCATGGGGAGGTGATTTCTAAATTCCAAACTAGTGAGTGAAACTTGGATTTGTAAATACAGCCAGTGAGTTGTGGTGGTGTCTTTGAAGATGGTCTGCAGATCTGTAAGCTTCATCAAGTTTTGTTCCTTGTTCTGTGGATTCATTGTAAACCAAATGCTGCTGGTCCACTCCAGAACAGGCAGCACAGACTTTGAGCTCCATGACAACAGCTTTCATATTGGTGATGTTCATCTTTATCTACTGCGTGCTTAGCCCAGAGTTGGTGCTCAATACATATGAATGACAGAATGATCAGAGAAGATTTTCAACTCCATCCACCTAAGTTTGGTAATTGGAAAACAGTTAGTATTTGGAGGATGGTTAAACTGTGAGTGGCTAAAGAGAGAACCTGAGACTTTTCTAAGTTTCTAAAAGAGACAAAGTTCCACCTCTTTTTTTTTTTTTTTTTTTTGGTTTATTCCATGTGAGTCATGGCCATAGACAAGAGATCAATTTGTCCAAGTTTTGTCTTAGAGTATGTAGGTTTTCACACACTGTTTTAAACAATTGTCCTTGTTTAAGTTTGGAGGATTCACTTTGACTTTTTATTCTGCATGTGAACGTCTTCAATTTCTACCTCCCTACCTTTGAATGTATGGTTTTGGAATATGTTTTTTCAGTTCTGATGTCGGCAAAAGTGCCAGATTGGGGATTATATCTTGCTGTAAACTTAGAATTTATATTTTATTCTTGCTTGATAGAGTCTAAGCTTCTTGCTGCTTGTGTCCAGTAGGCTCCTGGCCCTGTTTTCATAAAGATGTCAAGGGGCAGGATTTCTCCCAGTCAGTTTTTCCTTGTTCATTTCTGTGCCTTTACACTGTCCTATTGCTTTTTGGTTGATATGTAGCTACCGTAATTGCGGAAGCCACAAATAATGCCCCTTTGTTAGTGTTGGCCACCTATGTAGGAATTATTCATACATATGTTTAATATGAATGTGTAAAATGTATACCAAATCTATCTAAATTGGTGTCAGTATCAATATCCCTATATGAAAATGCATAATATTATCCCTCTTCTTCTAAGGCTGCCTCTGGTTTGTTTTAATTTTAGTTTTCACCAAAGTAGGGCTGAAAGAATTTTCCAGAACAGCTCCATTGCCAAAGGAATAGGCAACCGTGCCTTTGAATGCTCTCCTTGTGTTGTAACCAAGTCTTGTGTTTAGCTCTCGCTTTACTTCCTGGCTCTGTGTCTTCATTGAAGATGTAGGAGTGCATGTGAAGGGAAAATGGAAGCATTGAGGAGCGCCAGGGCTGCCAAGTCTTCAAAGGGTGCTCCACATTGGGAGCCCTGTCTGTGGCATTGATGGTGTACAGGGTTGCAAAAAATATACGGGAGCCAGCAGGGAGGAAGGAGCTTGGCATTCATCACCCCGCTGGAGGATAGTTTCCGCTATCGGTTTTGTGTTATTTACATTTCCTGATGGAAGTCCACATATGATATCTAATTCCTAAGTACTAATGCAGCCTTTGTCACTCGAGAGTGAAATCTCTAAATGATCCTAAGAAATCTCTGTAGAAGAAACTAGAAGAGGAAGCTTTCTTCTCATTCAGTGTTAATAGCCTGCACAGATTTCCTCTGCAGCCTCTGACTCTTGTATGTAAACTGCCCTATCCACATTCATTTATGCTACTTAAGTGTTGGAGGTTTCCAACTAGTAAAGGCTGGAAAGCTACTCTGCCTGTGGATGCAGATCTGGGTTTTCCTAAGTCCAGACTCAAAGCCCACAGTTCAACTTTCCACTCTTATAAATGATCTCTGAGTGTCTTTCAATAGCAACCAAAAATCTGCCTATTTAAAAATAGTCATAAACATAGTGGGGCCAAAGCTAAAGAGGTTGAAGGTTAAAGTCTTTTATATGAGCTGAAAACAATTCTGGGAAGTTTAAGAGGTTGAGTTTAACAGATATTTGGATCAACTTTTAAGAGGAAAAAATGTGACCAAAAGCCAGAAACACAGTTG